TTGTTGGAATTCAATAATTGCCTAAAAGTGGAAGAACTGTGTTTAGTGAGAGTGGTTTGTGTGGAATAAATTGGTGGAAGAAACTTTCTAAATTGTACGGAATAAAGTGGTGCTTGGAAGCCATGTTTAGATGGAATAAATGCCTAACAAATGGAAGAAATCTGATGTGAGGGAGGAAGAAACTTCCAAAATTGTATGGAATAAAACGTGGTAGGTTTTTTTTGTAGGGATGGAATATAATGCCTACAAAGTGGAAGAATGGTTGTAATGTAGAGAAATATGATGTGAGGGAGGAAATTTATAACAAAATTGTCTGGAATAAAACGGGGTAGGATTTTTTTTGTTGGGATGGAATATAATGCCTACAAAGTGGAAGAATGGTTGTAATGTAGAGTAGGTTCCATGGAATAAATTGAGGGTAACAGATTTGTAAAATTGGGAAGAATGATGTTGAAATGCGTCTGAAACTTCCAAAATTGTAGATTGTAGAGAAATGTGATGTGAGGGAGGAAGAAACTTCCAAAATTGAATGGAATAAGACGGGGTAGGATTTTTTTCTTGGGATGGAATGAAATGCCCAAAAAATGGAAGAATGAGGGTTTGACATTCTCAAGTTATTTCATTCAACCAACTTTCTATTATAACTGTTCTTCCATTGTTTAGGCATTTATTCCATGCCAACATAAATTCCACGCCTACTTTATTCCATACAATTTAGGAAAATTCTTCCTCCTTCACATCATCTTTGTCTACACTTTGATTCATATCTATTGCAAATCACATTCATCTCACCATCATACATTTTAGGATTTTATTCCATAAATTTCACCCCGTTTTACTCCATACAATTTAGCAAGTTTCTTCCTTTTTATGCCTATAGCAATTTCAATAAATTGTGCTTCACATTATCGGCAGTAAGTAGTTCAATTGTTTGAAAATATGTGATGAATATTAAGAATTTTGAATTGCTATAATAGGTTATTGGAAGAGCATTTGGGCAGAAAGAACTCGAGAATTTGGATAGCATGAGGATTAATTGTTATTGTCGTTTAAGCAAGGCCGTGCAAAGGATCAAGAACCAATTGAAAGAAGAAGAATTGAAGGTGTTCAGCAACACAGTTTTTGGGTGGGTACTGCACACAGAATCAATGGAAGTAGTAAGCGGGCAGATGCAACTGGGATTGCTATGCAACTACGTGAAAACTGTGAACAAAGTGAAGGAGAACAATGTCATTCGTTTCCATATTCAAAATAGCGTGATAAGCTTCTGGAAAAAAGATCTTTGTTTATTGTTAGGTTTGAAAATGGGTGGACAAAAGCCTCAGATAGAGGAGCAGTTGAGAGGACATATTTGGCAAACGTACTTTGGTAGTGCAAAAAGTGTAAGAAGAAGTGATGTATTGGATGCATTGATGAAGTATAACAGTGATAACCCGGAAGCACAAGCGGAAGATGGCGTGAAACTTGCGCTTCTGCATGTGCTGTCACATGGATTGTTTGGAGATCAGGTGGGTCGGGAGTTGCCAGCGGCATATGTAAACTTGGTGGAAGACTTAGATGCCTTTAATGAGTACCCGTGGGGTGATGATGTGTGGACTGAACTACTTAAAAACATGACAAACAATATAGATAGTCTGAAGAATTGCAAAGGGAATCGTGCAACGCTCCCAGGGTGTTTGATTGCTCTTCAAGTTTGGGCGTTTGAAACTTTCCCAGATCTACAAAAAGCTGGAATTTGCAATATCAAGGAAGGTGAAGAAAGATGCATTCCAAGGGCTATGAAGTGGTCATTTACAAAAAAAACCTTCACTGGATGTTTTCAAGGAAATTATTTTCTGCAATGAGGATGTAAGTTGATTCGTATTTGTAGGATATATATGGTATTAAATGAATAGTATATAACTTACTTCTATTCCATGTTTTATTGCAGTTTGAATGGGCAAAGTTGGTGGCTACTGATGAGGAAATTGAGAAATTTCCTATATTTGTGATGAATAGAAGGCTCAGGTCAGGGAATGGACAAAGCAGTGGCAATAGAGAAGAAGATAGGATTATTAGGGAGAAGAAGAGCAGTACAAAAGAAAAAGGTAGGAGGGTGAGTGGAGTCAAGGGTACAACAAGTGGAAGGGGAAAACAAGAAGAAGAACTATCAGATGATGTTGATCTGGATGATATGGGGACAATTGGATTTGGAGAGGAAAGGAAGAATGCAGTCATTTTGAAGCAAGTCAGGAAAATAAGCAAAGAAAATGCCAAGATCATGGCAGAACTCAAAGAAGTGAGCAAAAATCAAAAAAGTCAAGACAAAAAACTGGGGGAAATACTTTCACAGCTAAGGAAGATGAATACAAAGCAGGAGGGACAAGGTGAAGAAATTGGGGATGAAGTTCATGGCCCTAAAAATAATACAGATGCTGTGTTACAACACAAACAACAAGAAAAGAGTGCAAAAGCAGATTTTATGGAGACCGAGCACAATGAAGAAGGAGTGGAGATGCCAAATTTCAACATATTTGGGGCCGAGACTCAACAGAAAATGTGTGATGAAAGACAGGCGGATGTGAGTGAAGAGAATAGAGAAGAAAAGGAAGATGGAGTGGTAGACGTTAAAGAAGGGGAAGAAGCTGATGGGGAAAGAAAGGAGGCAGAGGCAGACAAGTGTGATGAGGGTAAACAACTAGGAGATGACGTCGAGATATGTGACACAGAAAAGCAAAATGAAAAAGGAGAGGCTAAGGAAATTAGTGAGGTGAAAACAGCAGACTTTTGGGAAGTCGAGGACACCCAGTTCGTGAAGGAATTGATCAGAAACGTGGATACTATTGAGAAACAAGTGTTAGGAACAGATGCAAGTAAGCGAGCCAGGGCAATGCGTTCACCGAGCGATGAGGTAATATATTTAATAACATATCTTTGGTACTGTAAAATGCACATGAAAAATAAGCATGCATGATTTTAAGTGCAGGAAGGACAGAACATGGGATGCGAGCACGAGACAGAAAAGGTGAGAGATCAAACAAAGGAAAACATGTGAGTGTTTGAGTTATTTTTATAAGATTGTAATATGATTTTTTTTAAAGGTACATGAAATCTTAGTGGAGCATACAAGAGCTAAGCGGGTTGCACGATCACCTGATAGATACACACCTGCTGAACAGGGTGAGGCAAGAAAGAGGAGGAGGAAAGCAATTGCCAAAAAAAGGGAAGAGTAGTGCTTTTTCGAGCCAAGAAATGTTGGTCCTTTTGGAGAGGATCCAAGTGAGCCACCACCGGTAGAAGAAATAGAGAAGGTGCGGGAGTTTCTGAAGACAGGATTATTAAAACGGAAGAATAAGAAAAATGATGATAATAAATACAGAAAGGATCATGAAACCATGAATGGTCTGCCGATGTTGTTGGACAATGTAAAAATAGAGTATAAGACATGGCTCTACAAGCTGTTTGTGAACCCAGAATGGCTTGATGCAACGGTGCGTTTGAACCTCACTTCGTTGTTTATATGTAATAATAATAATGTAATTTATGTTTGTAGTGGTTTATAATGACTTGCGGTGTTCTGTGCAGCATATTGAAGTAGGAATGTTCTACCTTGGGATGAAACAGTTTCAGTATAAGCTCCAATTCCCGTATTCTACATGCAGCCCGTATTTCTTACAAGCCCTTCAGCGTGAGCATGAAAAAATCCAGACTTCACAGTCAAGTCTTCAAAAGGCGGCTGAAATGTCTGTAATAGAGAGCCATATTGTAGGCAGTACAAGCACATATGCACTGAGCTGGGCAGAATCGGACTTCGTGTATATGCCCCTAAACACCGGACATCATTGGGTGTTGCTTGTGTTGGAGGTCAGACAGAGAAAGATCAAGGTGTATAATTCTATGAGCAGAAGAGGGGAAGCTATAAGGGAAGTCAGGCAACATCTTCCAAGTCTACAGTGCTTGCTCCCGAAGATCATGGATGTGCACAAAGTCTATGAAGACATCGGAGAAGAACCAATGAGAGAGAGAAAAATAGAGGTGGAAGGTGTACAAGAATGTCCACAACAAAATGATGGGTAAGACATATTTGTTGTTGGAGATATGAACATTATATTTTAATTGAACAGTTATTTATATGGTGTTGATTCATGGCAGGGGAAACTGTGGTATGTTTGTGTTGAAGATTGCAGAGTTCTTGATCATGGGCATGGATATTGAAGAAATAGATCCCGAGGACATGACGATGTATAGGGAGAAAATGACAACAGAGCTCATCTTGTACAGCAAGAAGAGAACAGAGGAGCTGAATGACGCAAAAAGCTAGAGAGCATACAGAAGCTAGTGCATTTTATTTAAAAAAACAAAATGGAAAAGTTGTGATTTTTATCATTTTGGTATTAAGCTAGGACTTATGGTTTTTATAATTTTGGTTAGTGGTTTGGTATAATGTTACGCTTATTTATATATCTGCTATGACTAGGTGGAATTGCACTATGGTTAATTAAGTATTACTGTTATTAGATTTCTAATGAATGTAATGGTAGGAGTTTTATGAATTGTGATGGCATAATTTGGCTGGAAAGGAGGCAATATGTTTGTATTTGAGTCTAATTGTGGTTGGAACGTTCAAGTAATTAACAGTATATGAAGATTGAGTGTGAGATGTTGTGGCAAATGCCTGTTTTGAGGAACTAGTGAAATAATTTTCAAGGACATGAGTAAGTGGCATTAAAATAGTAAAACAAACAAAATAAAACGAAGATGCTATGATTATCAGATTTTTACATAAAATGGTGAACGCCAGAAGACAGAGTTACAGGTTGGATTATGTTGAAAAATGCATGTCAATGATTCTTGGTATATAAATATGCCAATAACATGGAAAATAAATCTGCAATATACATGGTTTATGTACACACTACAAACTGTATAATCCCATAACCAACTTTAGTTCAATTAATTGCTTAAAATAAAGGGAATTTAGCATTGCAGAGTAAATGGAAGACACATTACAAGAAGTATAACTAGTAATTGATTTTTTTTAGCATTAACAAGGACATGTCTATGAATAAATACTTTGAAAGCAATGAGTTCAATCGTGTTCATAAGACTGAAAACTGAAATAGGAACAAATATAAAATTATGACTAATGAGTTATTGTTGGAATTGGATTGCGACAAGTCTTCTTATTATGACCAACGATGTGGCACCTAGAACATCTTTGTCGTTTTGTCCCACGATGCTCACCAACTGAAGGTATCCTTGACTTCCTCGGACGACCAGGGGGTCTTTTCGTACATGATGGGGGTTTACATCGAATACTGGCTATATGGGGAGGCACCACCCAAGAATCTCTATCACATACTGGGTGCATAACACCGCTCCACGTGGAAAGCCAAAATTGTCGTGTGTAATACTTGGAAATGTAATCATAACAAGATTCACGTGGGCGGAGACCAATGGCAGCAACCGCATGGACACAAACAAAGTGATTAAGTTGAAACGCTCCACATGTGCATGTTCGAGCCTGAAGGTCAACTACAAATGAGCGACAATGCCTATCAACAACTTCAAATTCAAAATATGATGTAGGCTTGACCTGAAATTATAATGGATAAGCATTAGTATTTTGAAAGTTTCAGTAAATGAATGTGATTGAGTAGAAGGTTGCTAGAGGGATAGAGGATAGCAGACTTGGAAGAAATGCCAAGTATGTGGAATAATTAAATGAAAATAAAACAACCTGAATGTTGTGCAATATTTATGTTAAATTAAAATAGGGAGAATATTGTCAAATAAATGTTTAGCACATTGAGATTAAATAAAAACCTTCAACTTAGCAGCTTGACTTTGAAGTGCAACCAGATGCTTCTCCCGTTTCTTTGTCAAAATAGTTTGAGTCTTTTCAGCTTTTTCCTTTCTTTCAACAAACCACTTTTGCATTCGTTCCCTAAGAAAGTCAATAAGTTTGGAAACAGAATACTCCCTTGCACAAACACTGACATTGTTCATTGACTCTGCACAATTTGAGGTCATCACATCGTACCGCCGTGGCCCACTCATACACTTTGCCCATCTATGAGGACCAATTTTTTCTAGCCAAGGTCGTATGCGAACGTCTTGAGAATCCATCAGCGCCATATACTCTTCATATTCCTTGATTGTTGAAGCGTTATATGCAGCCTTGAATTTCCAACCTAAGTCAGTGACATTCCCCCTGAATTTGGATACCATATTACGCCGAAGGTGCTCAACACAATAGCCATGGCCAGCATGGGGGAAAATCTGTTTAGCAGCACCGAGTATACCTTCATGCCTGTCAGATATAATGTACATATCCTCACGAAATGTTAGTGATTCAGCCACTTTTGAAAAAAACCAAACCCAAGACGCTTTAGACTCGGTATCACAAATTCCAAACGCCAAAGGGACGATGTGATTGTTAGCATCCTGTGCACAAGCCGTTAGAAGCGTTCCTTTGTAGTACGCCTTCATAAACGATCCATCTACAATTAGAATAGGTCTGCAAAAATTCCATGCATCCCTCCAAGGTGCAAGTGACATGAAAAAATAACGAAACACGTCATTATCATCTGTTGTAACATCCACAAATGAACCTGGATTGGCATTCTTGAGCATATACGCCATCGAAGGTAAAATCTGATAAGACTCAGCATCTGATCCGAATTGCTTTTGCATTGCCAACTTTTGAGCTTTCCATGCCTTCTTGTATGACATGGAGATGCCATGCATGAGCCTCATGTCATCACGTATCTCATTTGGTACATATGGTTTTCTAGAAGCATCCAAGTACTTATGGGAAATGAGTTCTGCAACAGTGCGGTATGTTGCTTGGCGATGCTTCCCTTGCCTGTAATCGACCGAACATGTGTGGGATGAATCAAACCTGTAACAAGTTTCAAAGCACATAATGAACAAACTGCCCAGACTTGGAATAATTTGCCACTAATATGGAATAATATACTACAATTATTTCATCCAATTTCTAAAAAATGATGGAAACATACCTTCTGATTTGAAACATTTGGACCCCACGTAGCTTAACTGCCCTCACAGCCCATTTGCATTCCTCACCTTTACAAACAACGTGCAACTCAGTTTTCTTTGATGTGCGCGTTGTGTATTGAAAACCATTATCTATGGCGTACAACATTAAGTGGTGGATAAGGTCTGCCTTAGACTGATAAATACCGTCGACAGTTATCTGAGTGGGATGATAATGAGTGATCACTTCGGAATTTTGATGAAGATAATATATTTCAGAAGAAGATGAATGGGAACGAGGTGATGGAGGACATATAGAGTCAGAACAGGGGCTTGAATATGAATCATCATTGCATTCAGCAAGAGGAATGCAGTCTGTAGCAGTCTGTTTCTTGTGATGAAACAGGACTGTGAAACACATCAGCGTGTGATACAGAAGCGATGCGCGGATAGGCAATATCGCTTGGAAATTCCACACACAACGGGTATTTGTGAATATCAGATTGAAGAAGCTTAAGATCAAGGAAGAAACGGAAGCTTTCCTCATCATGGATACATACCGGTGGAGGACATTGATCAACCATATAAGACAATGAGAAATGGTTATGAGATTTGTATTTAATTAGTATCGAAGAAAGTTCAGACACAAATTCACCAAATTTGGCAGAATAACGGATGTGCATACCAAATTTGTCATTACAATTAAAATTGTAATCATTGTCCCAGCTACCATCCAAATTCAGCATGATTAAAATAACTGGATCCATATGGATAACTACAAAAAAAAACGAAAAATAACAACGTCAAAAATGTTATTGGCTCATAATTTGAATGCAACTACATATTCATGTTACGGGAATTGACATACTAATGGCAAAAATCACGAATCACACAACATAAAAGGTGAATGTGGCAGAATCAGAAGCATATTGGTAGGCGCAACATACAAATATTGATGCAGAATAACTGAAACACTGAATAACTGAATCTGTTTGTCCAAAAAAAGTGGAGTTTCAGCAATAAACAAAGGATAGTAAACTTCAAGTGGAGGAAGAAAAGAGCAAAAGAAGAAAATACAGAACAACAACAATGTTATCTAAAATTACAAACATCGAATGTGGAAAAATTCATTGGAAAACAAGTATTCAATGAAAATTAATAGAGTAGAAAGTATAGAAAGTGCAAGAAGTGATTGTGGAAGTTTAGAAAAATACAAAGAGTGAGTTTTACCAGATTGAGCGTACGGCGTACTACGAAGCAGAGATAGCGTTCCAAGAAGAAAAGATGCAAGGAATTTGGGTTTGGTATGATTTGCAGAGAATTCTCTTCGTATGAAAGGAAACAAAGCGGAAGAAACGGTTGCAGAGAGAGACTTGCGAGAGACTTGCGTAACAGTCATGGAGTAACTACATAGGGAAACAAAGAAAAAAACGGTTAGCCAAAAGAAGTGTGCGTAAACAACGCAGGGGTAAGTTTGGAACGGATATGTACGTATGTTTCAGAGTAGGAGGAAAGATCTCCTATTTGGGGAAAAAAACAAGAGTACTCCCCTTTTGGATTTTTGCTATACTTTTACTCCTATATGAGTCAATTTCTATAAATAAAAATGTTATACTTCGTCACATTTTAAAAAACATAATTTTTTAAAGTGTAAAATTATTTTTCTATTTTTATATATGCAATATTAGTATCATGTGAAAGATAATAACAAACTATGAGTTTAGATACATTTTTTGTAACAATCGGAGTACAAGTAAAAAAGTTACACTATTTTAAAAATATACTATCTATTTTTTAAAGTTCCTAATTTTTTGTATTTTTATATATTCAATATTGGTATCATATGAACATAATAAAAATTACAAATTTTGATATATTTTTTGTAATAATCAGAACACAAATAAAAAAGTTATAGCACTTCAAAAATAATTAGAGATTTTGTATTTGTGGGACCCATCATTCTTTTTATCTTGTGCATGTTGCTACGTTCAGAATACTCCGTATTTAACCGAGCGTTCCAGTCCACTGGAAGCAAGGTTACCGTGTCTAGCTAAGGTCTCGGGTACGTTCGATTCCCGCTAGACACATTTAGGGGAGAGGAGGGGGGTCTTGCTCCCAATGATTCTTCCTACCTTCACGGAGTTGCTCAGCGGCTAAGAAGGGAGGGGATGGAAATTCAGGCTCGGGTTCGCGTGGTGGGAGGACTCTTCTGGATTCAGTTGAAAGGCCAAAGAAACCCTTCTGCATTCAGTTGAAAGGAAATCCTGCTGGATTCGTCCTGTAGTACCAGTACCGACGAGGCTGACTGTGATCATATCCGGATTTACTTGTCTAGAAGACTTTGGAGGGTAGTCAATAGACTACAGGATTAGGGGAGCGCAAGCACCGACACCTGGATCATAAAAAAAAAAAAAACTCCGTATTTGATTTTGCCTAAGCCGCAAAATAGATCGGCCTTTGTATTAACTAGAGTTAATTGAGCATTACTTTGGGAAATATTTCTTACCACACCTTAATTTGGTAAATATTTTTTAATTCAACATTATTGTAGGCAAATTCTCTTTTTATTAGATGAACACGACATTTTTATGAGATGAACACCTCGAGAAACACGACAAAGAGGAAGCAACACCAGTCCGAACCCCCCTGTATCCATCTCTTCAAGAAATACCACCATATCATACATTCATACTTAATTATATACACACACAAATATCCAAAGAAAGAAATTGAGGTGAAGAAGGAAAAATCTTGAAGGAGCAGGATCAAATAGCTAACTATAGGAGAGATGGCCGCTTGCTCCCTGCTTTTGTTTTTTGGCCTGAGACGAAAGAATATTTCGGTTAGGAGATTTTTTTGCTCTTCAGCGGAATTCTTTTCCGCAACTCTAGGAAAGCAACGGAAATTACAGGGCAGTGTAGGAAATATAGGGTTGGTTTGCAACCGCTTTTAAAAAAGCACTTATCAGCTTTTGGCTTTAAAAAAACACTTATTTTTCCAAACACTACAACTTTTATTTTTCTCGGCTTCCGCGTCAAAAGTGCTTTTACTTTTTCTATTACACAAAAAGCACTTATTTTACCAAACACTACCCACTTTTACTTTTCAAAATCACCTTTTTCTCAAACATTATCAACTTTTATTTAATCACTTCTCCCCATTTCATTAAAAAAACACTTTTTTAAAATCAGAAGCTGTTGCAAACAGACCCATACAGATCGGCCCATTGAATTTACATCTACGTTGTCTGGAACAAAAAGCTAATTGGAAAAGCCATTTTGAATTGTTCTGTTCGTCTTAATCTTATTACTCATTGTTTATTCTTACTTTATTCAAATCAGAAAAATTCAGATCGGATCAGATCAGAATCATTCATATCAGATCAGAAAGATTCAGATCAGATCAGGAACATTCAGATCAGATCGGGAACATTGAGATCAGATCAGAAAAGTTCAGATATGATTTATCCCTTTTATTATAATAATAATTATAATAATAATAATAATTATTATTATTATTATTATTATTACTATGATTACTATGATTATTATTATTATTATGAGTATGAGTATTATTATGATATTTGTTATTATCATTATTATTATTATTATTCTTATTACTATTATGGTTGTTGTTATTTTTATTAGTTTTGTTTTTGTTATTATTATATTATATGGAATAATTACAATTAAAATTATAGAAATAAATATTATAATTATAATTATAGAAATAATTATAACTAAAAATATAATCACAATTATAATTATAGCTATATTTATAACTAGTGTAATACGTATAATAATAATTATACCTATTATAATTATGATTATAATTATAATTATAATTTGTTTATAATTATGATTATAATTATAATTATATTTAAATTATATATGTGTAATTACATTTATAATTATAGTAATAAAATGATAATTATAATTTTAGAAATATTCAAATCAGATCAGATCATAAAGATTCAGATCAGATCAGAAACATTCAGATCATATCAGAAACATTCAGATCAGATCAAATCATACCAGATCAGAAAGATTCAGATCAGATCAGATCAGAAAAAATCAGATCAGATTATAACTTAAAAAATTCAGATCAGAAACATTCAGATCTGGTGAAGAGAAAAACTTCTTAACCAAACTTTTTTATTAGCTGATTGATCTGATCAAAATGCCAAATGTAGTCAAACAGCCAAAAAATGGCTGAAAAGCTCTTAACCAAACACCCCGTAAAGCAAATTAGAAAAGACTAGACAAATACATACCGAGTATAACCGGGCATCTACCAAATTAGATCATTAAATCACTCAAATCAGAAAATTTTAGTACAATTAGAAGCATCCTAAGCCAAAATGGAATCCATTTTATTACATGAAGTTAGATGAAAATCTTTTTACGAAGTCATTTGTATACCAAACTTATTTAGTCCTCTAGAATCTAGATAACTACTCTGTACAATTTTTTTCACTTTTGAGTCTAAGGGAGTGTTTGAGGATCCCTCTACTTTTAAAAAATAAATTTATAAAATGATTTTGGAGAAAGTGCTTAATAATAAAAGTTGACAGTGATTGAAAAAATAATTGTTTTTTTAAATAAAAACAATAATATTTTAAAAAGCAAAAGTTGGTAGGGTTTGTTAAAAAAAGATGTTATAGAAAAAAAGATAAGTAGTTTAAAACACATCTCTCACTGCTTCATGCTTTTATCTTCGAAATCACTATTTTAAGTAGAACTTATTACTTAAAAACACTAATCCTAATTTTTTAAAGTTAAAGTTAGAAAATCATTTTTTTAAGTTCTTGTAAACGGTACTCAGATCTAAGTAGACATTGTGTTATACTACGTATCATTTTTGAAGTAATGTTACTAAGAGCCTCTTTATTAACCTTTTTCTTCATCTTATTACCTTTTCATTATTTTCTTTTATATAATTGTACTGAATTATACATGAACATACGTACTATTGTATTATCCACGAGCCTTTTTTTTTGCTAAAAATTACCAACATAAATTCAAAACATAAATTACCAACAAATTGTAGGAATTCAGACAGGAGATTGGGATTACATATGAATAGAGGCAAGGCAACATCTATGATTGCATCCTTGATCGTCCATCAAGAGCAATATATGGATGCTTGTATGTTGTTAAATCCGTTTCATTGTAATACTATTAACAATTATCATTGTTATTAATTTATTATTACCCTTTTGTTGTTTTGTTAGACTGCTGCTATACTTTTGAAAAAATAAAGCATGGTCTTAGTATTTATGCAAAAAAAAATCTTCTTTTTGTTTAAAAGAAGAGTAATACTCTATATGGATTATATTCTCAAATTATAACAATAGCATCCAATACACTCATTGTGGGAGAAATCAGTGTTTTGTTTTTTTCCGAAAAATAAGAAATTAAAGAAAATTAAGAAAATGATTGAAGGAACTGGACAAAGAACTGGTCATAGGTTCAATCAAAGCGTGTGCAACGCACACTATCTTTAAAACTAATTCACTGCCTCCTACGGTGCTAGGAGCGTTGCAGTGTCAGTTTCCCAAGATATGATAACTGACGAATAACCGTATTGAGCACTCAATAGGTTGCTCCGGAGAACTGGAACAAAGGTAGAACTTGGGAAGTTTTATCGGAAGTTTGACAGAGTTTTTCTTTCAAGACTATGCAACGAGTATTTTGTGTGCTATCTTGTTGTGTGTTTTCGTTCTGTAAGTTGTGTGTTGTGTGACTCCAAAATCCGCTGCCAAGCTTTTATATGGTAGGAGCCTTAGTATTAAATAGTATGCATTCAACACCACACTTATTGTGTGAAACCGCCCATTAAATACACACTTATTGTGTAGCAATGGTTTTGAACGTTTCAGGCTATTAACCATGTAATTAAACCATATTTTAATCAGATTTTACAGTTTCTAAACGTTAGGCAAAGTTCGAAACTCTAGCAATATGAAGAGAGGTTAGAACGACCGTTTAACCGACGGTAGTTCTACGTTTAGTTCTACCTTCGGAAATTTACAACTTCTCCATCTCAACAAGCGAATTTCGAGAATCAATTTCTCATTCACTCATTATCCATTTTGAGTGTACCACATATCGAATTGACCCCTTACAAAAAAGGAGAATCCGAAACCACTTTGACCCGACCCAAATCGGAAGTGGACCCCACTCAAAATATCGCCCGAAAATAGCAATTTAATGCAATTTTTAATACAATTTTCCAACACATTAGTTACGTAAAAGTATATGACATATATTAAATTTATAACTCTATTAATCTCATTTAAACTATCATTATCTAAGCTACAAATGAAGCATTCTAACTCATATATTGTTTAAAGACGATCCACCAGTTTTATATGTATCCAGTTAAGTTTCAGTCCTCGGGATCACTTCTCTGGCTCCGCTACTGCTAGTCAAAATAATCATTCCTCAAGTTGTATAGGACTCATTTGCCCCTAATACAATCACATTTAATTAAATGACTGTTACTTAAGTATAGCGAGTGCTTGGAGAAGCATCGGGGAGCTCGCAAGACCATCCTTGGAGTCGTAGAAGACGGTAAACCAATACGCCAACAATGGCTCCTAATGTTGGTGAAACAACATAAATCCACAAATATCTGTCAAAACTCCATGAAGCAATTGCTGGCCCTAATGATCTTGCTGGATTCATTGACCCTCCCGAAACTGGCCTGAACATGCATGTATACATGTTTACTGGTGTTAGAATGTGATGTGGTTAATAATTAGTTAATAAATAGATAGATGAGGTTTATCATTAATTGATTACCCAGTGATTAGCACTCCCAAACCAATGGATGCTCCCACAATAAATCCACCCAATTTCCCTGCCTGAAAAGTTTTCATTGTTACTAATTCATAACTAGCATCTTATAAAATGTACTAGCTACTTTAATATCTGATTATACAAATTGTTTATGTATTATATTCGAATACAGTGATGATCGTGCTTCAATAAAAGTATTAAACTCTTAATTTGTGTTCAAATACGCCTGGATATATAGGAAGTAATTAACTTACAAATTGAGGATCATTTGATAAAGCTGAAGCAACAAAGAGGATTATGAAGGTTGCCAAAAACTCCACCCAAAATGCTGCATAGCACCCATGGAGTGGTCTTGTCATCATATGCTCATACCCCACTCCATATATCAATCTTCCTGATACTGCGGCTAATATAGAACCTCCCAATTGTGCAATGATATAAAGGGGTACCTTCAAACAATTTGATTAATAAGTTCACTTTTAGTATTAATTAACTTTTAAAACGTATAACCAATAAAAAAATCCAACTATATCTCCATTTATAAACAATTGTTAATGGTGTGGTAGAGTGTTTTCCAAAATCGATAAGACATAGTCTCTAAGGCCTTGTTTGGTTCAAAGGAGGGGAGGGAAGGGAGTCAAGGAGGGAAGGAAAGGGAAGGAGAAGGAAGGATTTTGATAAAAACTTGTGTTTGGTTGGAAGAGATATATAGGAGGAAAGTTTTAATGAAAATATTTTCCCAATTTACCTTTATTTGATAGCTTACTTAAAAAAATAGATACATCTCTAACCATTGTGAATATTACTCCTAAGGTCATAAGTCATAATATTTTTTTTAATTTTTTATTTTTTTTGTAATTTTTGAATTTTTGAATTTTTGAATTTTTATTTTTTTTTAATTTTTTATTTTTTATTTTTATTTTTTTACCTTTTTTATATTATAACGTTTTGTCCATTCAAATAGGAGATGGATAGTTTGTGGTTGTTAATACGTTTCTTCCGAAATACCCGGATTTGGGTGGTTGAGAATGGGAAGAAGTGGGGGATTTTGGAAGCCCTCCACTTTCCTTCTCTTCCCCCCTATTTCCTTCAACCAAACACACACAAATTCCTCATTTTCCTCCTCTCCCCTCCGAAACCCTCCAACCAAACAGGGCCTAAAGTATTCTGCTCCATTTGTTCTAAAATATCAATCACAATAGGCACTTTGATGTGATTTAGAAGTACGGCTTATTTTTAGAAGTAGAATCAGAATCATAGAACCTAGCCCCCTTAGCTTATAAAAAAAACTGTTTCTAGAGAATTTTAGAGTACTCAAAAGTACTTCTGCACTTGACCCAAACACGTCAATATCTACTTCTGTTCACTGAAAGAGAAAAAACAGTTTTAAGAAGTAGATCCAAACACCTCCTAATATGACGTTTCTAGGTATATTTTACGTTTTACAAAAGGTACACATACAAATTCTTCTATTTTGGTCACACTAGTGTACACTATATTAAGGTGTACTCACTCTAGTTTTAGATGGATTCTAATTCAACAAAATGAAGTGTGACACACAATCTAGAACCATGGGAAAGTAAAGTGAAACAACTATGTTGGAATGGAGCTGATAGTTCACAATCCATACAGTAATGAATTAAAAACAAACACCCTTAACTTCTTAATCTTGGAATGGAGCTGATAGTTCACAATCCATACAGTAATGAATTAAAAACAAGGGAAAGTTCCCGAAATAGGACTAAAAAAGTTTGAAAATTCCAAAATAGGACTGTCATATTTTTATTCCCAAAATAGGACTAATTACTGCCAAGTTTAGAAAATATTGCCATGTTTGAAGTCTGGTACTGCCAAAACATGACAGTAATAAGTCCTATTTTGAGAATAAAAACATGGAAGTCCTATTTTGGAATTTACAACCTTGTTTAGTCCTATTTCGGGCAATATCTCTAAAAACAAACACCCTTAACTTCTTAATCAAGCATCATCATAATCCACTCATTTGCCACCACTAAAGCAGTGTTTGCGGTTGCTTACAAAAAGTGCTTTTCAGCTTTTGACTTAAAAAAAGCTAAAAAGAGTGTTTTCAAATGACAGCTTCTGCTTAAATTAATCACTTAAAAGCTGGAAGCAGGTGGAAGGGTGCTTTAAACTGCTTTTCACTTTTTCTATTACACCAAAAGTACTTATTTTACCAAACACTACCAACTTTTACTTTTTCAGAATCACTTTTTTCTCAAACACTACCAACTTTTACTATTAATCACTTTTCCCAAAATCACTTTAAAAAATCACTTTTTTAAAGTTGAAGCAATTGCAAACACTCCCTTAGAGAGTTTTTAAAAATCATATTTCCTTATTACATTAACTCTCCATTCAAACCTCTCTGTGGCTTGAAAATGTTGTGGATGAAAGAAATTGAAATCATAATTAGGGGGTGTTTAGAACTGATTCTGCTTATGCTTTTTTTTAAAAGAAGAAGCAGAATCAGAATTAGTTTTCAGAAGATGGTACCCCCAGCTTCTAAAAAAAATTGATTCTGAGAGTAAATTAGAGCACCAGTAGTGCTTCTAGAATTTCACCCAAACACTCCAGCTCTGCTTCTGCTCCCTAAATGAGCAGAAGCACTTTTGAGAATCAGGTCCAAACATCCCCTTAAAGTAAATGAAATGTTATTACCTTGGGCCAAGGAAAAGGCCCAATTGCTGCAAAAGCAAGGGTAACAGAAGGATTCAAGTGTGCACCAGAAATAGGCCCAATGGAGAAGATGACAACTACTACAGTAAGACTAGCAGTGGCTGCATATTCCAACAGCCCAACTTGTACTCCCATCAGCTTCAGGTTTGATATTATCCCACATATACAGAACACTATCATGTATGTCCCCAATGCTTCTGCCGCAATCTGCACTTCAACTCAAATAATTGTCACTCGGTCATTTCTTCTTTTACTTTATGGTTTTGCGACATAAAGTAAATTCCAAAATAAGACTTACATTGAATTGAGACATTACTGCGGTATTGAATTTGCAAAAAATAGAATTATTTTGTGAGATATTACCCAAAATAGGACTAAAAAGGTTTGAAAATTCCAAAATAAGACTTCCATGTTTTTATTCCTAAAATAGGACTAATTACTATCATGTTTTGGCAGTACCAGACTTCAAACATGGCAGTATTTTCCAAACTTGGCAGTAATTACTCCTATTTTGGGAATTAAAAACATGACAGTCCTATTTTGGAATTTCCAAACTGTTTTAGTCCTATTTCGAGAACTTTCCCTTATTTTGTTACTTTGTGTGAGTGAGATGCTCGGAAAATTCTGTCAAGAGGGCAAATTAAAAATAATACTACTACCTCCGTAACTTAAAAATCTTCTCATTTCAAAAGTAGGTAGATTAAGAATAGTGAAAGATGATATGAATTATTGAGGGTATGATGGGAAGATAGTAATAATGTGATGGAATGTAGGATAAATTCAAAAAAAAGTAGTTGTAATAGTTATTATTTTCAGAATTATTGAGGGTATGATGGGAAGAATTAGAAGTGGGAAGATTTTTTTGTTACGGACGAAAAAGGAAAGTGAGAAGATTTTTTTGTTACGGAGGGAGTATCACGCAATTATTAAGAAACAAGTTTTCATTAAAAATTGTCAGTTTATTAAAAATAAAATAAAAGTCTAATAAAAACGGGTGGAATATGTATTAAAATTAATTTAAGTTAAAAATATATGAAATGCGATTAACTCTAAGTGCGAAAAGATGTGATTGAAATTAGATATCATTATTAGTTACATTAAAAGACTATTTTCAACTAATTAGATCTTAGGTTTAGACAATCTGTAGTTCATAGAAAATAAAAATAAAAATATACTTGTATAAGAAAAAGATGAACTTTGTAATTATAAGTATTTTAATTTACAAATAAATAAGTAAGTTTTTATTTTTGTGTGAAAAGATGTCATTGAAATTACATACTCCCTCCGTCCCGTTAAGATTGTATAATTTTTTCTTTTCAGTCTGTCCTATTAAAATTGTCTCATACTAAATTTGGTAAAGTTTGTGTTGTTCTAAATCATTCTCACTTTATTTTTACTTTATCAATTCAATATCAACCTATGTCAGTGAATCGAATGACTACATATCATTTATTAGTTACATTAAAAAATTAATTAATTTGGATATTAGATTTGAACAAAATTTTAACCAAGCTTCAAAAGGGCAGAAAAACAGCTACCATATTTCATATGAAGTGTACAACTCGTTCACTCATTGAACGTGTACAACTAGACACCACTTTATTCCTTTTTAAATCGGTTGTTTTAGCTGATTTGGCCGAAATTTATGAAGTTCTGGCTGAAGTGGCTCCATTGGCTGATTCTGCTGATTTAAGAAAAAAATATTTTTAAAATATATTTAATTAATAAAATAAAGAAAAAATTATATGTAAAAATATCTAAAATGGTCAGCTACAGTATCTCAGCCAATACAGCCAGAAAAGTAACTCTAACCTTACTTTTTCTACTTATTACACAATTCAGTGCGCGAAAGCAAAAGTCATGTGTTTGGTGAAAAAGTTGGCCGATAAGCTGAAAAACAGTATTGTCAAACGGCCTCTTAATATGGAGTATAATACCCATCCTTGTGGCCGAAGTTAATAAAAATTGAGAATATTACCCAAAAAGGACTAAAAAGGTTTGAAAATTCCAAAATAGGACTGCCATGTTTTTATTTCCAAAATAGGACTAATTTCTGCCATGTTTTGGCAGTACCAGACTTCAAACATGGCAGTATTTTCCAAACATGGCAGTAATTACTCCTATTTTGGGAATAAAAAACATGACAGTCCTATTTTGGAATTTTCAAACTGTTTTAGTCCTATTTTGGGAACTTTAAATATGTTAGTCGGGCACAAAATTCAAAGTTGGCGACATCTTCTCCAGCGAATTTACATACGGAAAGTATAGTTTTTGGTAGAAGAGTCCGTAAATTGCAAAGATTTATTAGTTATAGGATCAAATCTAAAATTGCAATTTTCCCTTCTTTTAATATTGTTGGGGTGTTTCCTAATAGATCGATTATAGTACGTAGCTAGCTAGTTTGCAAATGACTAAAGAGAAAATTCCCTACTAAAATTATGTTATACTCCCTCCGTCCTAATTTGATAGTCTTGTTTCTTTTGGCACAAAGATTAAGAAAGTGTGGTAGAAAGACTAAAGAATCTTACTTTATTGTACTGTTCATCCTTTTACTTTTACTGTTCATTAAAATGGAGGAGTATAAATGGTAATTCACTTTTAGTTCTTTACCAAAAAGGGAAACAAGACCACCATTTTGGGACATCCCAAAAAGAAAATAAGGACCATCATTTTGGGACGGAGGGAGTAGTTCATAAATAGGACTAATATTGTTTTATTTCCAAATTAGGACTCATTCACTCCTATTTTGGGAAGTTTTAATCAATTTATTCTTTTATAATTAAGGACTAAATGCGTCTTATTTGGGGAATAAAACATGATTAGTCTCAATTTCGAATATCGAACAATTTTGTGTAGTTGTTTGGCACTTTGGCTGGCCGTCTTACATACCTGGCGGATGAGAACCATGTTAAATTCAGGCAAGAAAGTGTAGAAACGTCGTCCTCCCTGGGTGACTTCTCCATTATCTTTGCCACAAGTGCTTGTTGCATTGGATTGCATCTCTTGATCAACTTGAGACCTCTCACAGGAAGATGATGATAATGTCCCAATTGAGACATTATCTCTATCTTTCAATGAAGATTTCATCATCTCCAAGATGAGGTTATGTGTTTCAACTAGCTAGCTTAGCTAGTTTAATTTCACCTATTGAGAATCGAAGTGAATTGACATATAGTAAGTGCATGGTATTAGTAATGTTAGTAATGTATTTTATGTTATGTGAGGAGCTAGCTAGCTAGGTTGTTGTGGGGTTGGAGTTGTATTTGTTTGTTTGTTTAGGTTGTTTGTAGTAGTGCAGATTTGAGTGAGAGCAAAGACGGGCAGTTATTTGTTATTCCACATAACATTCTTGTGTTGTGCGGTGAAAGGTTGTTCATGCTTCTTCTATGTCTTTCGTTCGTTACACATAATAAATCACTTTATGTAACCAAACGACCACATGGATGCATGTGATTGATGACATGATATATAGTGTTAAGACTTGCATTCAATCTCAAAAAAGCACTAGTGCAAGATCTTATAATAAATCGTGTGAGACAAATACTTCAACAAATATTATATACTCGATCCCTCTGTCTTGTTGGACTTTGCCACTTTTCTTTTTTATTTTATTTTATTGTCCCAAAACTTTTTCACTTTTCAATTAAAACAACTAGGTTCTGCTCATATTTCTCTTTCTTTTGTGCAAATTTCAAGCACACAATTTTTACCTTTTCTATTCCTCACTAAATAGGCAAAGTTCACCTAGCAAGCCAGTACTGATGAGGAGATCTTGGGGTGAGCCACATATGTAATTTAAAAGAATCGGTTCATTTATATTTTTTGTAATTTTTTCGTTGTGCATATACGCCTTCAATAATCCTATAACACTTTTCCTAATGTGACATAATCTTGAGATGCAATGTGACATTCTCTTTAGTCGGTATCTTACAAGTTTAAGTTGTCAATTGACTTTTTCTCCTAATAGAAGTATAAAATTTGTCTCTGTTTTAGTAGAATTTTCTCAATTGATCTTACTCAAGTTGATGTCACGCTCACCCCGAAAGAAAGGATTCCAAGAAAATTAAGATTAACCTCACGCACGGTAAAGGTAAGAAGGGTACAAAATAAAAAGACAACCTAAATAGAGTAATGATGATGTGAGCCGTAATTTATAGAGGTTTAACTAATCATCCACCATAAAAAAAAAACCACTAGCTTATTCAGTCTAAGTTGAACACATCATTGCAAATAATTTTAGCAACCAACCATTTATAATTGAATCCTAAAAGGGTTAAACTACTATCTTCAATTAACCGTCTAAAAAAGGATTCCTCAAGTTGCAATACAAATTTAAGAAGGCTTTCACAACCTTTATACCTTATGTGTGTAATCTATAAGTAACAAGTTATTCTATCACTAAAGATATAAAACCAGAGTACGAGTGAATAAGAAATCAATGTATACTAATAAAAGAATGCAAAACACTACTCCGTATATATTTAACTATTTAAGTATATATTTGTGCTCTTGTGTGTGTGTGTGTGAGTGTTGTGTGTGTTTGTGAAGAATAGTACTGGTTATAATCAATGTACTAATATGCTTCAAGGAGTCCACAAACAGGGAGGGATAAAATGTCAACAAACCGTGAGATAAGGAAACTAAAATTATGGTGAGTGCATAAGTCATTTGATTCACTCACTTCGTAACGCTAATGAAACTAATGCTCCCAAAACTAGCTATCGTAACTCTTACATCTTCAACAATAAGACCAGAGGAAACCTCGACCCTTGTTTCAATACCTTTTATGGCTTCCGTGGCCCATCACACCCCAATTCTATGCTGTATCTTTTATTCATCTAGGACTCTAAGGAGGTGTTTATTTCACTGCTAAAGTCACAGTTAGGTTAGTAAGACAGGTGAAGTAAACACGCACACTGCTTAAAAAGCCGCTTACTAACCGAAAGAGGTGCTTAAAGTGCCGCTTTGTTGATATTAATTAGTTTTGTTGATGACTAACCTATTTGTGATTTATATCTATGTGCATGCGTGACACTATTGGCTTGCATCAATTGACAAAGAAAAAGTACTCCACCTCTAAGGTAAGAAATTATCTTCAACCAAATAATAAACGTGGCATAATTTGAGGAAAGTATTATCAAAGGAAAGTCACTTTCGAAATGTCACATGACTTGAATAAATTGATATTTGAATTTGATATATGCTTTTATATGCTTACCATTGAAAAGCCATCATTACTTGCCTTTTATAAAAGGAAGATCGTTGCATGCTTTTGAGCAGTATGCTATCAAAGGAAAAAGCCTCTTTAAGTAAAGTCACAAATCGAATAAATCCATATATGCCAAGTATTGTATTATGCAAAGATTTATTACTGCCTTGCCAATTATTCATTGTCTTGTAAAGAGTTTGGTTGACCGGAGTATCAAGATGGAAGGTGTTTAAATTATTTCAAGGCAAGTATCAAGATTGATTTCGAGAGATAAAGGCTCCAACGGATTAATTCTGATGTCTTCTATATAATCGAAGTAGCAAAAGAGAAAGGGTGTGCTGAACCGAGAAAAATACTTAGAAGAATCATTCAAGAAAAGGATCAAGTCCTTGGCGCCTGAAACTGCCCGCTCGGAGTTCTAGATAGAGTTTCTCTTTTCTCTTTCATATTGTACTTGGATTATTGAGGCTTAATTGGCTAGAATAGCTGCCTCGGGTTAAGTGTGTGTGAGAGCTTTGTGACAAAGCTGAGAGGCTCTCTACCCGCAAGGTAGAGATGCATAACTCTTCCTAGAGAGGATAGAGTTGGGGAGGCTCAAGGGTAGATTAGGAGAATCACTCTTGTAACTCTTTCAAAGGCTTGTTTAGTGAAGTTGTTTAAAATTCCTCCGAGGGAGGTCGAGGTTTTTTAATCCCTTTGAGCCAAGGGATTTTTCCTCGTTAAATTCTTGTGCACTTTACTATTTTGCAATTCCCTTTATCCCACACTAGAACTCGGCGAAAAACTGCCACGGTGTCACACACACACAATTCACCCCCCCCCCCCCCTCTTGTGTTGCTAACCGTTTTCATCAATTGGTATCAGAGCCGGTCTTCACCACATAGAGGCTAATACCTTGGGAAGAGATCCGGCAAAATGAATACGGTTGACCGATTGGAAGAAGGGTACTCGACTCAACGACCACCATTGTTCAATGGCAAATACTATCAATTTTGGAAGAGTCGGATGGAAAACTTCATCAAGGCCGATAACTACCAGGTTTGGAATGTAATTGAAAGTGGTGATAATGTCATCACAAAGAGAAACGCCGAAGGTAATGTTGTTCCTAAACCTAAAGTTGAATATACTTCTGAAGATTATGAGAAACTCGAGCATAATGCCCAAGCCCTTAAATATCTAATTTGCGGTCTTGGTCCTGCCGAACACAATCGGGTTCTAGGATGCAAGACTGCAAAACAAATGTGGGATTTGCTCGAGGTCACTCATGAGGGAACCTCACGTGTAAAAAAATCTAAGATTGACATATTCATGCGTAATTACGAATTATTCGTAATGAAGCCAAAAGAGTCAATCAAGGATATGATTACACGCTTTACTAACATTATCAATGAGCTTTCAGCCCTTGGAAGAGAAATTACAGTGGAAGATCAAGTGAGAAAGATTTTGAGAAGCCTGCCCCAAGTGTGGAAGCCTAAGACCACCGCTATTGAAGAAGCAAAAGATCTATCCACCATGACGCTTGAAGACTTGACTGGATCACTCTTGACATATGAACTGGGTCTTCAAGAAGAACAAGATGCTGAGAGTGCTAGGCGAGAAAGAGGAATAGCTCTTAAGGCTCGAGAAGAAGAAGAAGAATCCGAAAGTGAGTCGGATGATGAGATGAGCATGTTTGCGAAGCAATTCGGAAGGATGTACCGAAAGTTCAAGAACAATCGCGCCAAACAAGGTAAAAGGAATACTCAATCCTTTAATAACCAAGGTTGTTTTGTTTGTGGTTCTTTTGAACACAGGGCTAAGGACTGCCCACAAAAGAAAAATGAGAAAACCTACGACAAGAACAAGTCCAGTTCCAACCGAAGGTTCAGTGAAGATAAAAGCTTCAATAGAGATCTCAAGAAGGCAATGATGGCCGCATGGGGAGACTCATCCGATGATGAAGAAGAAGAAAATGATAAGAACTCCAATCATGCGGGTCTATGTCTTATGGCACTCTCCGACGAGGAATCCGACCAAGAAAGCTTTGAGGTAAACTTTGAAAATTTTCTATCCAAGTTTGACTCTCTATCCAAAACCAAAACTCGGAAAATTTTCAAAAGGTTAACTATTGAGCTTAATGAAAGTCTTTCCGAAAATGATCATCTTAAATCACGTATCACTGAGCTTGAGTCTAAACTCGAGGAAGCCACGAGAGCCAAAGTAAGGCTAGAAACAAAAGTGGGAGAGTTAGTGGATGAAAGGCTTAAGTACAGTGAAGTGGTTCTAGAACAAGATCAAATTATTTGTTCTCTTAAGCTCGATAGTATGAACAAACAAGTTGATCATGATGAAAAGCTTCTCTCAAAAATACCGAGTGTTGGTTGTTTAATTGATCATCTTCATCGTCTTGTTGCCGAGTGCACTGATTTTAAAAATAGACCGGAATATCAATCCTATAGTGCAACGAACAAAACCAGGTCTAGACATCATTCTGGAACTGGTCCTTCTCAGCACAATAAGAAAGTAAACGAGACTGCAGGTCTCGGATATGTTCCAAAGGATGTCCGATCTAATCAAAAAACAAACTTTCAGAACCAACCCTTTAAGGATAAAAGAACCCAAGGACAATCCAGTTCTAGACCATATCAACAGCCACCTAGAACTGGACCAAACTGGTTCGATAGACTGGTTCAGAGGCACAAAAATGGTTATGGACAAACGCCTAACCGGACCTTTTACAAAAGAACTAGAGGCTTTCACGGTAAATGGAAACCCAAATACGTTGATACTTATGATAACCGAGTTTGCATGCATTGTGGCAAAATCGGTCATCTTCGGTATCAATGTTACTCTCGGCAAGAGACCCTAGATAGATGCTATGATTATGTTAGATCTTCCTCAAATAAAAACAAAATGGAACCCAAGCAGGTCTGGGTTCCACGCACTAAACCTTAAA